GGATGATTGTTGAGACTCCTCTGACCAGTGCAACAAGATTAGCCCTACGTGTGTAACATATATTAAATTTGGTTGTTCGGGATTACTTCAAAGTTGAGTTTGTGTTGTTTTCTCGAATTTTCACCGGCTCGACCGGCGTTCCACAGCAGCGCGCACAAAGACCATAGAAATACATGGTACAGCGGATATATTGAAGATAATATTTGGTAATCGTAGTCCTAAATAACTATTAAAAATATCAGTCCGAGCAGCGTTTATTTATTTATGGTACAGCGGTGCGCGTCTTAGCTTCATTGGGGATAAGTTGCAGGGCGGTGGTCGTCGCGCAGCGCGTGTTCGAATTTCATGTGAATAAACAATGTATTTTACACGCGTTGTATACGTCGCTACGAGTCCCATATCAAACGGGACGCGCCGCGACAACCACCGCCCTTTAATTATTACGCGTGTACGATACTATAGTAAAAATCTTTATTGTGGCGCTAGTAATCTCGTCATCAAAGATTCAACAAATAGTTCGACAGCAGAGTCACCTGTTTTAATTAAAGAGTAAGAGAGAAATCAAATTTTTTACAGATTACGTTTACTCGGGACTCGCACGCCGATGTTGGTAACGATCCCCTGGCACCATCGAAACTGAAACCACAACACCAATTACGCAACGCATTGGTATTCATGAACAATGGATTAGAATAAGAAATTAAAACTGTTGTATATTAAAGACAGGGCAAAAAAAAAAAAAAAAAAAAAAAAACGAGCTTCATTATGTAAATGATGTCGAAGCCGGACAGTTGTAGTTGACTTAGTAAAACAGGTGCCGCAACAATGGAAGCGATAAATATTTACGTACCGAACTACAAAATACACAAAAATCGGAGCATGGGAAAACGGACAACGTAGTATCGATTTAGAAGTATAAGAAGTAATTTTGTAGTCTATAACATTGAGAATAATAAAGGCGAACAGTCATGATAGAATTCATGACGGAAACAATGAATATCCCGGCAACGCGAGTGATACAAATAAAGTTAGAAAGAATTCACAGAAATAAATACCAGAGTTCAGCGAAGACGAGACCCGACTAATCCACGTCCCATCGCTGTAAAATGTTACCACAAGATGGAGAATTTGTGAAGCAATCACCAAATTCACTCGATAAGTATGGAGATGAGAAAGAAGTTATACCCCCGTGATGAACAAAAGTCAGGAAAGACGGAAAACTGGCTCAAATCAAAGTGAATCGACAATTTATATACAGAGGTGAAATCAAGATTTTATGTCGCTAAATTTTAGTGAAGTTTGTAAAAAACGAAAGTATTTCATTAGATAAAGAAAAGCGAGTCAGATGTGTTCTTACAGGAACTACGTCGTACAGTATTGCACCGGGTCTGATGGCAACGACAGTGGACTGAGGAACAAACTTTTTTCGCATGGCTCTATACACAGCAGAGGTACAGTAATCTTATTTTCAAAACATTTAAACATTCAAGTGAAATGTGCCAAGTCTGATGAAAAGGGCTGTTACGCAATGTTAGGTGTAATTAATAAGAATCGTTCAATTGTATTTCTAAACATTCATGCGCCCTCTATTGGTGTATGCAGGCAGTTTTCTTTCAAAGCGTGTTGATACTTTTCATTGATAAATGTACCTAACACGGATAACATGATAATATAGGACGATTTTAATTGTTTCTTATCAGTCTTAGATCGGGATAGCAACAGAGGACGGTGACTTATTTGGTCAATAAAAACATACAATTCGTGAAATTAATAATATTATTTCTGAATTCGATTTTCAAAATATTTTCAGAGCAAAACACCACCAGCTGTCGAGATGCAATTCTACATCGATTATTTGCTCACGTTTTGTTCAACCATTTTCATGGTGACGTTATGAATATTGACGTCATACCAAGTATGGATTCTGTTCACCTAGCAATCACCTTACTCATCAATTTTTAATCAACAAAAACTCGGACCTTGATTTAGTATTTTTAATTTAAGTCTGTTACAAAACAAACAATATTGTGATAACTTGGAAACAAAGACTAAGATGTGTATTGATGATTATGGAAAACAAATGACGGGGTTGAGAGTAATTTTGAATTTAAAAAAAGGGGAATCAGAAAATATACAATAGCATACTCAAAATCACTGTCAAAAAGCGCAATAAACAAATAACAATAACAATTATTAACTTGTTTGATAATTGGTTCAATTTTGAGGTCAAAGGTTATATGATGAGGAAAAACGCATTCTAAATATTTTAAACCTAGAAAAAAATCAACAAGAAAAAGAAACATTTAAAAAAAATAGAAACATTGAATGAAAATATAACTTTTATGAAATTTCAGTTTGTTTGAAAAAAATACTACCAGGATTTTTATCCTGAAAGGAATTTCGATGTACAGGCAACAGAATGCATTTGTTTTTGTTTTTTTTTGTTTTGTTTTTTTTGATAACGCTGATTAAATTACAGAAATTGAAATTACTGTAATAAAATGTGAGAATATTTTTAAAACATTTCAAGAAAATGAACCGCCAGGTAACGATGGAATTCTGGCATCTTCTCGGTAATTTTTTTTAAATAGTGCAAATGCTCGATATTGCATTCAAGAATACTATGAATACAACCCAATAACAGAGGGTTGCTAAATAATACAAAATTCGAGAATTTGCGCCCAATTATGTATATATGTCGAAAATTGTGTGTCATCGTGTGGAACGGGTTTTAACTATTAAAGCGGGAGGGTCGTCACCTGCGCACGCGCGGGAATTGAATCCCAAGCGATGATAAGAACACACGCTAAAAACGCCAAGACTCATGGGTAGACGCTTGTTTGTAGACACCGTCTATGGCCATCTGACGCATGCACAGGTGACGACTCCCCCCGCTTTAAGTGTGGATGAGCGTCAAGAACAGTACTATCGCGTTGTGTTATCAGGTAC